TCACAGATTAGGATTTCTGGGTTTTGGCTTTTTCAGTAGCATCAGAAGCTATTGGGCTCTCAACAGAGTTGGAAGCTTCGATGAATGTCTCCTGGTTGCTACTCTCTCCGAATTTACTCTTGATGCTTTTTTCCTCCTGGATCAGAGAACTGCATGGGAGAATCTGTGTCTGAATTTTCCTTTTCGCCACGGGATGTTGCTATATTGGAGCAGTTAATTAGTAATATGTACTGTATCCATTATTAGTTTTCAAATAGATTTAAGTTCTTTTAAATTCCTCTTTCTTTGTTTGTATTTAAATATGGTGTTTTATAGAACAAAAGAACAAAAAATAAAAGGGAAGTACAGCACAATAACAGGCCCTTTGGCCCTCCAAGCCTGTGCTGATCATTGTGCCCTGACTAAACTAAAAAATAAACCTTCTGCCCTTATTTGGTCCTTATCCCTCTCTTCCCTCCTATCACTAACTGGTCTATTTCCTTCTAAATGTGCATATATCCTGTCCCTCAGTACCTTCTCCAAGAGCTTCCCCACCACAGATGTCAGACTCACCAGCCTATAATTTTAAATAAATTGTGTTTTGCTTAATATCAAGTAGTTTGACTTGTAGCGTTGCATCTGGAACTTGGCACTTCACATCTACCTTTAAAATAACATAAAGTTAGGGTTTAGGCTACCTTCTTAAAATACTTTGAGGGGGTCTGATCTGGTCCATAGCACATATGAGGGCTGTAGGGCAGATGTACAAACTGAGCATTGTACAAGATGCCGTTCGAATGCAAGAGGAGAGCAAATTAACAAACCATAGTCACTAAGAAATTGTTACAAAGAAACTAATGGAGCTGCAGGCTGATATGCCTCTGCATCCAGGTGAATTTCACCCTGTGATCGTAAAAGAGGAGGATGATGAAATAGTTGATGCATTCGCGCTCATTTTCCACAACTCCCTAGATTCAGGAAATTGTCTATCAGACTGGAAAGTAGCAAATATAATGTTTCTGCCCAGAAAAGGGGGGAGGCAGGAAACAGGAAACTATAAAACAGTCAGCTTGTTGTTGGTTGTGAGGAAGGTTTTAAAATTGATCATTATAGCTGCTCACTTAGAAATACTCACTGTAATTGGGAAATGTCAGCATGGCTTTGTCATGGTTTTTACTGGAGTTCTTTGAAGGTTTAACATGTTTTGTAGACAAAGGGGGATCCTTAGGAACTCTGTATTTGGATTTCCAGAAAGCATTTCATGAGGCAACCCATTAAACATTATTGTGGAAAATAAAAGCTCATGGCATGTCCACGAGGAGTCTTACCAATTTTTATAGATGCCCCATAGAAAGCATCCTATCCAAATGCATCACAGTGTGGTACGGCAACTGCTCTACCCAAGAATGTAAGAAACTAAAGAGAGTTGTGAACGTAGCTCAGTCCATCATGAAAAACAGCCTTCCTTCCATTGACTCTGTCTATATTTCCCACTGACTTGGGAAAGCACCCAACATCATCGAAGACCCCTCCCACCCTGGTTATTCTCTCTTCCTCCCTCTTCCATTGGGCAGAAGATACAAAAGTACCAACAGATTCAAGAACAGTTTCTTCCCCGCTGTTATCAGACTTATTAATGGAAATCTCATATATTAGAGTTGATCTCTCTCTGCACCTTCTCTGTAGCTGTAACACTATATTCTGCATTCTGTTCTATCATCCTGATGTACTAGTGTAAGGTAAGATTTGTCTGGATAGCACACAAAACAATACTTGTCACTGTATCGTGGTACATGTGACAATAATAAATCAAATCAAACCTTAATTATAAGAGGAATTGAACAAGGTAAGGGTGGTATACAGGGCATTGGTGAGAGGACATCTTGAATACTATGTGCAGTTTTGGTCTCCTTTTCTAAAGAAGAATGACATTGGAGATGAGATTTACTGCAATGATACCTGCAATGAGAGGGTTATCTTATGAGGAAAGATTGGACAGACTGGGCTTGTAGCAGAGTGAGGGGTAACTTGACTGAAATGTATAAGATCCTCAAGTGTCTTGCCAAAGTGCACATGGACAGGACATTCCCTCCTGTGGGTACATCGAGAACTTGGGGGCACTGTTTTCAAATTGGGGGAGATAGAGATAGATTGATTCTTGTTAGACGAGGGGTCGCAGCCAATTATCAGTAGAAGGGAATGTAGAATTTGAAACACAAGTTGATCAACCAGTATCTAATTGCCTGGCACAGCAACCAATCATGTATATTAGTATGATTTATTACAGTCTGTCCAGAGCCAGTGTGAACGGTTACAACCAGCAGCTGTTGAAGATGAGTAACTACAAGAGACACTGACAATCCAGGGATGACCTGATAGTGTTAAAGAAATACTGGAGAAGATTCGTTCATTTTGGCCAAACAGGGAAATACTTGGTACAAACCGTTTTCTCTTTCTAATCCCAGAAGCATTGCACCAAGATATCACATCCATGTTACATCAGGGACAGGTGGGATTTGAATGTAGGAGATAGTTGGCACCATGAACCTGAGCCATGGACCTGGTGTGATCAGGATGTTCAATGATTTGTAACTGCACCATTACCATTGCCTACACAATTCCTGTTTAGAAGGTAAGTGTGAATGACTTTGTTCAGGATGCAGTTAGTTAACCATGCTACAGCACGGGATATCCCTCTTCAAAGACAGAGGAGAATGAAAGAGATACATGACCAGTGAGCAGATGGAAAACTGCTCACTGGGCAGAAAGTGCAAGTTAGAAATACAAACACTTGGATACTAACAAAGGTTTCTACAAAATAGAACCAGCCTGGATCATACAAAATAGTTACTGATCATGGTGTTACATTGAGAGGGAAGAGAAGACAGACTGATGTATAACACATACCAATCAATGACAGTGAGGAAGAACACTCTGACAATGATCATGTTCGACGATAGAAACCAGCAACAAGGCAACTAGGTTGTTAAACAACAGTAACAACACACACCTCTCCAGGTAGGTATATCACCACCAGATAAAAGCATTACATTGAAGTTTGAAATGCTAATTTTGTAAACTATATAATTATTGAATGTACAACACATATGTATATGCAACCACACATATCTGTTTGGGATTTATTTTATCTTTGGTTAAAGGGAGATTGATAATATGTCTTGTGATAAGTGTTTCAGTATATTTTTAAAGTCAGAAGTCACACGACACACAGTTATAGTCCAAGATAACAAGGTGTAGAGCTGGATGAACACAGCAGGCCAAGCAGCATCAGAGGAGCAGAAAGGCTGATGTTTCAGGCCTAGACCCTTCTTCAGAAATCCACAGTTATAGTCCAACAGGTTTATTTCAAATCACAAGCTTTTGTGGCATTGCTCCTTCATCAGGTGAAGTGAGAGAGAAGCACATAGAGAGATCAAGGGCAGAGAGATCAAAAGGCCATATAAATAGTGTGGGTGGAATGCTGAATAATAAGCCCTTGCTGGTGATCCAAACTGTTAGACAGTGTGAGTAAAGTGAAAGCAGCTG